CCCAGGCAGATATAGTTGAGCTCTTGTTAATTGATCCCACCACAGTCTTACTATGAGCATCATTTTTCTATATTTGCATTTAGCAATGGACATTTCTGAAATAAGGAAAAATAAATTTGACCTAGCCATTGAAAGCCTTGCTTCTTTTCCTTGATCAACTTACAAAATTTGGGCAATTAACTCAGAATCAATTTATTTAGAATTTGGGAAATTGATTTAGAACCCAATTCATTAATTAAATGATTTATATCATAAACATACTCTCAGCATAGCATTTAAGAATTACTTTAAGACAATGGGTGAATACTTCATTTCATTTTCTAGGTAACACATTTTCAATTTATTTCTTATTTTTTGTATAACTGGAGCTTATGAACGAACATATATATGCACATAGCATCATGCTTGAAGTTTGGTACTAATGATGTGTGAGGCTACATTAGTACTTATTGTGGGGGAACCTGTCTTGCTTAGGATATAGTATTTAGCAATAAATAGCATCTACCCCTTAGTAGCCCATGACATTCCATCTGCACGGTTGACAGCAAAATGTCTCCATGCATTAAAACAACCATGGCCACAAATAGTCCAATTTTCATTTTAGTAATTTTCAAAGATAATGCATTGAAGGTACTTACTACATCATTGATCTCATCTTCAAAAGTGAGGTGAAAGAATTAGGTATGAGAGTACATGCCAGTAATCCCTGAACTATTAATATTTTTAACTAGCAATTTAACTAGTAATACCAAAATAACACTCAAACACATATGTTTATATAGGATATGTATTTTTTTGGGGGGGGTCCGGTCTTGGGGTCTGAACTCTGGGCCTGGGCGCTGTCCCTCAGCTCTTCAGCTCAAGGCTAGCACTCTACCACTTGAGCCACAGCGCCACTTCCGGCTTTTTTCTTTTTGCGTATGTGGTGCTGAGGAATCTAACCCAGGGCCTCGGGCATGCAAGGCAAGCACTCTAACCACTGAGCCACCTTCCCAGCCCAGGATATGTATTTTAATGTGTTAAATATCTACAGTCACAAGTTTAGTGTGTTATTTTAATATTTGCATAAAAAATTCACTAATCAAATCTGAGGATCCCAGTTTGAAGCTAGCCAGGACAGATAAATCCATGAGACTCTTATTTCCAATTACCAAGCAGAAAGCCAGAGTGGATTTGTAGCTCAAGTGGTAGAGCAAAACTGTGAGCAGAGGTGAGAATACTAGGCCCTGAGTTTGAACCCTGGTACTGGCACACAGGGGTGTGGGGGTGGGGGGTGAACATCTCTATTTGCATAGACAGCTGGCATCCATAGCCTGGCATTAATACAGATACATGCTAAGGCAGCCACAATTGATCTGAATGGCAGAGAAGTGCCTTCCATTGATGTACAGGGTATTGTCTTTTAGTAGAAAAGTTCGTGAACTTTCAAAAACTTCAGTGGTTGTTTTGCTTTTCTTTTTGCAAACACTGACAGAGGGTTAATAGCATACATCATTTTATGGCTTTGGATTGGGTCTATTAATCCACACATGATGATCTTTACCCAAATGTTTGAGTGAATGTTTATTTCACAGCTAGTATGACTAGTTCCTCCCTTTGTCTGCTAAGTAGAACAGCTTTGTTTGTGCAGAAGCAATGACTAAAATGGGCCAGAAGTTCCCCTCAGCTGTTTGGTCATTGTTCATGTTTTGTGGAATTACAGCAGTGCTACAATATTTTTCTTTGCAGCTTAAACATTGAGCAAACATAGACATCCGGAGATGCTGAAATGAAAAATCTGCTTCCTCATGCTTTGTCATTTTGCTGAGTGATCGCTGTCAGATAGCACATTCCATACATTCCAAGTCACCAAAATTACCATTAATCCTTTAGCAACATCTGTCACAAACACTCTTCTGTCTCTGACTTAAATGCATTGGGTGGGAAAGGATTTGACAATGTATTTAATGAGCTACAATTATGTGTAAGAGGCAATAACCACAAGGTTTTCTTTTGTCGTTGTTTTTTGGTAAGACACACTACAAAATTAGCTGATTATCTTTGATAAGCAAAAGTGCCTGAAAATCATTATTTATTATAGATATATTTAAAATGGTCTCTGATAACATGTGATTCAAAAAAATAGTCCTTTCTCTGATGAGACTGATAGGCTTTTATCATTCACTATCAGTGAATGTATTAATTTTACATTTCTTCCATTCTTTTATGATCACATAGTTTTTATTCTTTAATCTTCGTAGGAATTCTTTATTTGTGAAACACTTTACTGAGTGCAAAAATGTATATTCTTACACATCTCCCCCATGAATCTTTGCATTCTTTTTCATTTATTTTTAATGAAGGAATCTTTTTCTTACATGATTTTTCACTGTCCAGAGATGCTATTGACAATTTCAACTCATGACAAATCTCTTCGAATCCTTCCTTTTGCTTGTCACATTTCTGGGTTAGACACCAAATCATCAAATGAGCCCCCATACCCTGCTTTCTGTGAAAACATTCTGTAAGAGATCAGGCAATCCTTCCTAAATTAATTCCAAGTGCAGACATACAAAACAATTCTATCATGAATGCATTTGGAGTGATCTGTCACTTGTTCACCTAACTCATTTGCATATTGCTTCCCAAAGACTAAAAGTGAACCTCCAATATCCTGGGGGAATGGGCACCCTCCAGGGCATGAAGAAGTCTAATTCTCATTAACATAATTTGGTCTTTGTCTTTGATTCAGATGTAATGGTCCCTTCTGTGAAGGCTGATGGAATTGAGAAGTTTCTGACCTTGAGGCAGTTGAGCTATATGTTGGAATGTCAGTAAACATTTTAAGAAAATAGGCTGAGTCTCAAGTTCAAGAAGAGAACTGAAGTTTTGTGCCTGTTAGGAATGCAGGTTGTGAAAGTGTCATTTTTTTATGAAAAAAAATTTCTGGATTTCCATCTTAAAGTTATTCAGTAATTGTCCTCAGGTGATTTCTTAGAGTGTTTACTTCTGGTCTGGCACAGCAAATACTGAAACTGAAGGACAGTAGGTATGTTTATGTTTTACAAAACGAAGAGGTAGATTGCTTTTAGCAAAGAAATTAAGGCAGCAGGAAACAAAATGACCTGTGTCAGTTGTAATTAAGTAAAGATTTATCAAATCCTACTTCTAATTTAAGAAATATCCTGATGAGTAATAATTTAAAAGAGTCCAAAGAAATTCAAACAACAGAAATAAATAATTAAATACAGACCTTTACGATACAATATACATTTTACGATCGATTTCAGTGAAAAAGTCCAAATGTCTTTGTAAACCAAGCTGGTCCTATAAATCAAGCATTTCCAAAAGTTTTACTTTGTTTCTACTCTCAGATTTAATGAGGCTGAGTATTAACCTGATCAGAAGAGAGAATTTGGACAATATCATACAACCACTCAGAGAAACATTTGCTTCTGAAAAATTAATGTAGGCGTTGAGATCATGCCATCTGCAAGTAGCTGTCATGGGTTAGCCCAAATATTTAATTACATCGAGAAAATAAAGTAACAGTAGACAAATAATTATCTTTAGGAGAAAATATTTTTTTTGATAATTATTTTATTAGAACTTACTACTTAAGTTGGTTATTGTATATGAGTTTGTCTTCATTATAATCTTTAAGCCAAAGCATTTGAATCACATAAATTTCAAAGATATTACTCATCTTAGTTTTTTGTTTTACAAAAGACACCAATCAAGGGAGAATAGAAAGGGAGAGATAAGGGAAAGAAAGAGCCACAGACCTGGCTCCATTTTTTGTTCCATTCATAGATAGACACATTTTCTAATACACTTATACACTTACACATTTTCTTATACACTCAGCAGTGACAGTAAGTCAAAGCTAGTAGTATACATTCCTAACACCTAATGGGAATTCTGACATTATTTCTTGGTTTCAGATTTTAATGTTTGGATTGACATAAAATTTTAACCAGCTTGGACCTGAGTACAGTATTTTTTTCTTATTGTCAAAAGCATAGGCAGAAAATAAATCAAAAGATTAGGATAACATGGAATATAATAATGCTGATTTTTAGATAATTGTTAGATTTTTAACATCCTTTTCAAAGCACTGTGGAGAAAAAAATCTAGGTTTTTATTACATCTCAGTGGTAGATCGCATTGAGATGATCACAAATTGCCTATGTGAGTTATAAATGTGTGGAAAGAACAGAAAGTTTTATTTAAAAATCAAGAAAAAGAATTTTCCATTATTTTTTATGTTTTCAGACCAACAACTCCACGTCTAGAACAGAAAGAAAGTATATGATTTCTTTGAATAAATTCTACTTCAAATGTGCATTGTAAATATATTACATATAAATTGCATCAGAGGGTAGGCAAAGTGACTGGTACCTTTAACCGTAGCTAGTCAGGAGGCTGAATCTAAAGATCACAATTGGCAGCCATCTCACAAATACAAGATGAAAGGCCATGAAACTCTTGACTCCAATTAACTACAAAAAAGAAAAAAAAAGCCAGAAGTGGAGCTGTGGTTCAACTGATAGAGGGTCAACCTTAAATAGAATTGCTCAGGGACAATGCCCAGGCCTCCAGTGCCAGCACCCTCTCCCCACCCCACACCCCACACACACATTATATCAGAAGACAGGAAGCTGCTGATGCCATGTGTTTAAATGAGCACAAAAGATTGGACATAATACTCACACAAAGCCACACTAGGTGCTGATGGCTTGGAAAAAAAAGGCATAAGGAGAGATATAACCCAACTGAAAGAGCTTTAGCCCTTCAAGAAAAAGCCAAGCAAGAGCAAAAGGCCCTGAGTTCAAGCCCCAGTACCAGCACTCACTCACACACTCTCACACACCATACAAACCTAAATCCTGAATCCTGCCTTTTCAGTAAATAGTGAATGCATGTCAGGTTAACACAGAACCAGAGTTTATGGCCTTTATTCATTAAAAATAAAAGATTCCTCCTTATGAAATGAGTTTGGCCCTTGTGTTTGCTTGCAGGGTGCTGTGATTACGCCGACCATGGACCACCCTATGTCAATGCAGCCAACAAGCATGATGGGTCCCCTGACACAGCAGATGAATCAGCTTTCCCTGGGCGCTACAGGAACGGTGAGTGTAAGAGAAGCAGCACTGTCTGTTTCCCCCAGCGCATGGGCTCTGGCCCCTTCTCTAACACACCTCTCAGGCTTCACTCTGCATGCAAGTCTAGCCCCAGAGCACATCGACTCACATTGACAAGGCTGATGCTTCTACTGTGTGGCCTCTAAACTTTGGAACTGCTCATTGTCATGGCAAACAGCGCACGCTGTGTGACGTATATTTCTAGGAGAGAATCCCTTTGCATGCCCCTGCAAACCTAGATCCCATGGTTCTAAACATCATCCAGGGCTTCTTCCCTGCTTTTGTTCACCAGTTAAGCCACTATCGTTCCCAAGATCTTCCCAAAGAGGTACTTACCCTGACTGTGACGGCTATAAAGGGCTTTGTATCAAACTTTCAGTGATTAATCAAAATAATTGAGGACATGGCATAGTTTCACTTTTCAACTTATTGAAAAGCAGAAAAGGGAATCCCGTGTGCTTGATCTTTTCTTATCCATTGGTATATTTTTAATTAGTCTCAGTTCTTCTTGGACATTGAAATGGCATTGTGTTAATTTTACATCAACAAGATATTTGACATCATTAACACACCTTTATGGGTTTTTAAAGGATGAGTCCCCAAACATGCAAGATGGTTAACATTTAGAAAAACCTAGACTACTAAAACTTTGTAGGAGGAGGCAACAATGCTTGATAAGAAATGTACTCATTACCTTGCTCATGTAATTGTAACCCCTCTGTACGGTATTTTCACAATAAAAAATAAAACTTTGTGAATTGCTGCTACAGACAACATGCAGAACAACATTATGATCCCATCAATCAGTTTTCATTTTTATAAATGTTAGTGTAGATGATCCCACCATTTTATAAATATGAAAGCAAAGGTATATTTTCTTTGGGCTGAGCCTAGCCTGATACTGTCAAAAATACACTGAACTAGGAGTCAGGAATCTTAGATCTAAATCTTGACTGAACCCTGTTACTTCTGTCTGTCCTTTGGAAAATATTTCTTGTCTCCATTTCCCTGTCAATACATGGACATTGGTCTATGAGTCATCTTCAACTAGATGACTCTTTATTTGTAAGCCTGTGTGTGTCTCAGTGATCAACACTATGGTTCCTCACAGAGACATGGGTCTCATCTGCAAATACCTCTGTCTCCTTTCCACACTGACCCTTAGAGAATATATCTTATAGCAGTGAATCACTTGCCAAATATGTATTGTTGAACCATAGGCTTTGTAGAATATGATAGGGTTTTGACATAGCCATTGAGACCTCATTAATCTGCCCTAAATATGATGAAAATCCATGTTCCTTAATGGAAAGAGTCACCAATGTTCAATTAAGAAATTTAGCTTTATTGATATGAACAAAGCTTCTATCTCAAAAGCTCAGTTGCTGAGCCTATAAAAGCCATTGATGCTAAAATTCTTGTCTGAATGCCTGGGCTGGATGAAATAGTATCTTAAGCTTATGATCTAGTTATAGAAGTTACATCCAAAGCTATGTTTAATGGGACACTATGACACCAATAGTTTTAATCAGAGAGATAGAGTATTGATATAATATTCTTGCTTTGCATAATGTGTAAGGATATTTGCAGTCAGCTGTGTATTATTGAGAAGACCAATCATCTGAAGAGTTCCGGGAATACTGGAGCTTCTCAAATTCCCTCCACGTCCAGTTCCCTGTCCTTCAGTGATTGTTAATTTGGAATACAAAAAAGAAAGCAGTTTCACTGCCTTGTTGGAGATAAACTGGAATCTGAGAGAAAATAAAATTGTCATATAACACCAGCGAGAAACCATTTATAAATTTTACCATTTGATTCCAAAACAAATATGGCTTACTTACTTGGTAAATTTTTAAATTTAAGAAATTGAAAAATAGGCTAAAAGAACACATCCAGAATGAAAATATATATAAATTCAATCAGTGTTATATGATTGTGTATTTGAGCATTTATAACAAAAAACATACTTGTGTAAGATCACATTTACCTAGTTAGTAATGGCCAACTAAGATTATAATTCAGTAATGATATATACTACTTTCTTAGAGAATAAAATGTTTTAGCATGTGACTTATTTTTAATGACTCATATCACTTAGCTTTTTTTATTCTATTCTTTTATATTTGCAAGTAAATAATGCTTCAATACATTATATGCCTCATATAACATAATATTATAAAAACTTTAAAATTTAATGTTTCTGGAGCGGTAGAGAGATGACTATATTAGTTTGTTGATTCATTCAACAAAATATGATTGAGTATATTGTCCATTAGAGTGTAATATCTTATTTTAAAAGAATCTGTCACTCTAAGACACCATCTACAATGCCATCACAGATTGGTTTTATCTTAATTTTTATTGGCATTTGTATTGGCTCTTATGTAGCTGATTCTTATTTCTTTTAATTGCATTTTCCTACCTAATTGCATCTTTCCAACATTTCCATTGATGGGAAAGCAGCCTGGTATGGAAGGTCTGGCAGGCTTTAGAATCAAACTTGAGTTCAAAGCCTGGCTCTACCTGTTCATTCTCTATGCATGTGTAGGCAAAGTTACTTAGACCTATTGCATTTTAACTGTTTTTCCTAAGTGAGAATGATAATACTGACATCCCAGGGATTGTGTCAGTGTCAAGTGGCATGATATCAAATGAAATGATATATGTAGCTTACTGGAAACATTGTGTGCTGCCCAGCACATGCTTATCAGATGAGGTCTCTCTACCCCCTTTGCCTCCAAAGGCCACCAATAGATTTGGGAGTTAAGTCCAGGTTTCCAGAAGAAATGTGCACCCTAATTAAATACAGAGCACAGTTCACTTATCTGCTCTATTTCAGAGATAGAACGTATTTAATTAAAATCTCTCTCTTACCTGACAACACACTTTCACAAGTTTGAAAACTCAACATTCTAGAAAACCTAATCCAATCACTTTAATAAAGGAATCACCCAAGTTCAAGGGAACAACCATGGAAATGTATAATGATATTTGATTTTTTCTGCCTCATAAGCAGTCACATCATATAGACATACATGTTACAGGGGTTCTATTTTAGAGATATTTTCAATTCAGTAAGAATAAGATCCCTGCCTGGGTGCCAGGACACCAACAGGCATTGGCTGTACCTTTGGCAATCTAGAACACCGGCACCTTGTCTAGAGAATGAAGTCTATACTCACCTGCAAGCAACTGTTGCCACATGGCATACAGCCCAGGTGTTCTCTTCATACACCTTTTTAACATAAGCTGAATACTCATATTTTGATATGAATTTTTTTTCTGTATTTTGATATGGAGCCGAGTTCATCTCCAAATCTCCCGATTTGTGAGTAGCCCGATAATTTTCTCTATTCTCTCCACACTCCCTGGGCTACTAGATCAGTGATTTCTTTTAAACTTACTTTTCAGTTCACATGATTTCCTTAAGCATTCTCATCCACTTTTATGTTTTTAAACCCTGCCTTCCCCGCTGAAGACTTCCCAGATCAGAGTTTTCAATGCTAACCTCATCTTAGAATGGTAAGCTCATTTATCCAACTACTGGCTAACTGTATCCATGTAAATCTCCCCCCGACATGAGGCAGCATGACTCAGAACTAATATTGAGCTTCCCTGGCTTCCTTCCAGCTGAGCCTTCTTCCTCCTGTATTTTCCTGCCCCATTTTCTTGTAAGGTAAATGCTGTTACCATTTGCTCAGTAGCCAAACTATACACATAGGACTCCGTTGAGACCCTGCCTTCTCTCTCACCTCAGTAAGACAAGTGTTTTCCAAGTCCCATGAATTCTGTCTCAGATGTGTATCCAGATATGTACATCCTCACTTCCATATTTCCAGAGCCTCTCTCCCAGACTTTATTTAATGTAGTAATCTCCTACTCTAAGCCTCCATTTTCTCCAAGCTGTTCTCCCCAATGTTCCCAAAGCCAGGTAATCTGAAACTATATGACACTATCTCTTTCCTGAGGAGGACTAGGCAGAGACTTTCAATCATCCAGGCTCACAACAATTTTGAAAAGCAAAATGTAAGCGCTAACCACTAGCTTAAGGAACTCCAGAAACAGATAGTGCCATCACCTAGAGAATCAGTGAATAATTCAGAGTCGAGTGATCAAAGTTGACAAGAGGTGAATAGAGGTAGTATGCAAGTTGCCTTGGATAGAAGGGGCCTGGGGAGACTGAGACAACTTGCTATGCCCTTCTTTCTTTTCCTTTTTCTTTTTTAGTTGTATTGGTATTGGAGCTTGAATTCAGGGCCTCATACTCTGATTTGTTGGGGTTTTGTTTTGTTTTCACTTGAGGCTGGCTGGTGCCCTACCAGCGTTTTGCTGATTAATTAGAATAAGAATCTCTGGACTTTTCCATCCAGCCTGGCTTTGAACAGGAATACTCAGATCTCAGCCTCCTGAGTAGCTAGGGTTACAGGTGTTAACCACTAGCACCTGGCCACTTTCTTTTGTAAGGTTCCTGACTGAAGGACTTGTATTGAGTCAAAACATCATTTTCATCTTCAAAAACAAAGCTATATTTCATCCCACACAATCTCCAAATGGAAATGGGTGCCATGTACTATAGTTAACCTTTCTTTCTACCTTGCTACTTCTATTCCTTATTTAATTCTCTACTCATTTTTTTCAGCTGGACAGAATCTGTAGGACTTAGCAACATGAATTTTATAAAAGCAGTGTATCCTTTTATTCCATGGCTCTGCTGACTTTGAAGAATTTTTCTAGCACTTTTGCTTTTGTTTACTTTTTCGTTACAGAATTCTTTTGATGTAACCAAGGCCCCATTATCCATAATTGCTTATCACTTTATTGTGAGCTTTAGCAGAAACCACAGGGGACTCTACTGTGTTATGAGAACCTTTGCATTGCATGACAATCTTGTTTTACAAGTTTCTTATCTCCTTTTCATTTGTTCAGTTGCTGGTCACCAGTGGCTTATAATGTCACCAGCTTCTGTTGAAAAAAACAAAAAGATTTTGTTCTGAGGGTTCTTTATCAGCAGCTCCCTTTTTGTTAGCCAGGCCTCTGGTGATTTGTGACATCATTAAACTTTCCTAGAGTAAACCAGAGCCATTCCTAACACTAGTCTTGGGGTTGTTTCCCATTGATTCCCCAGAGGTGCTAGTGCTAGGAATCCTACAGCTCTAAAATTCAAAAATCTGAACTGTTCACGTTGGTAAGGGATCACCCTTATTTTTCACGATTAGACATGGGTATTAAATATTACAAAGCAAAATTATATAAAGGTGCATATATCTCTATATAATAAGAAAATTATAACTAGATATTAAATGGAATCATGATTCAGGAAATACTATCAAAAATTATGAATACATTTCCTTAATAGTTTTTTTCAGAAAAAATATCAACCAATCACAAATGAATGCAAGGAAAAAATATAAATAAGTGGATAATCATGTTTTCTGTTAGGTCTTACTGTAAAAGAAAAGAACTTTGAAGTTATTCTTACACTTTTCATATGAATGTGAGGGCATTAATTGAAAGTCCAATATTATTTGCAAATATTAAAATTTTGCTGTCTTAAAAAAACAACATGTGAGGCCATTGCTGGTAGCTTGATCTGTAACCACAGCTACTTGGGAGGTTGAGATCTGAGCCCATCAGCATAAATTTGAGGATGGTAGCACAGGTCAGCACAGGCAAGAAGTGAGACCCTGTCTTAAATATAATCAGAATTAAAAGGGCTGGGTATGTAGCTCAAGTAGTAGAGTACCTGCCTAACAATTACAAAGCCTTGAATTCAGATCTACTACATCTACACAGTATTATGAGTTAACCTGAACTAATACCACATGGATTCATAAAATATCAAAGAACATATAGTTAACAAGAGGGAAGAGAGGGCTGACAATATATGAAAAACCTAACTATATAATTTAATCTAATGTACAAATGAATTTGACATGCAAATACACATATCTCATCAAATAAAATCGACAAAGTGTTGCATATCTAATGATCCAAATACTGATTATACATAGATTATATGATGGTGGTCATCTAAATTGGTACAAGATTTACCAGGACAACAAAGTAGACAGTCCACACACCTCAAAGCATTTACCCTTGGTGAGTAAGTAGTTGTAATTTTGAGAAGTCTATAAAAATGCTCTAAGATAACCAAAAAGACTTATGCCTAAAACATGTTCTTTATAATAATTCATTAAAAAGTATAATTAAACTGGGCACTCATGACTCACACCGATAATCCTTCCTACTCAGGAGACTAGTATATGAGGACCATGGTTTGAAGCCAGCCTGGACAAGAAAGTTTGTGAAATTCTTAACTCCAATCAACCACCAGCTAGGAGATAGCTCAAATGGTAGATAACCAGCCTTGAGTGGAAAATCTAAGGGACAGCACCCAGACCCTGAGTTCAAGTCCCAGATCCAGTGCACACATTTGTGCACACACACATACCAGAAACATAATTAGATAAATTATAATCTAAGCATAAACTTGGATATAATATAGCATGAATATATACAAATTCAAAATAATAAGGAAATTCATTCTTTATCATGTGAAGCCAAAAATGTTGGATGTGAGTTTGCACATATGGAGTATAGTTGCAGTTCTGAAAAATATTAACAAAACAAATCTGAAGTAACACAAAACAAGTATGGTTATTTTAGAAAATTGGAAGAGTGATTTTTATTTCAATTGTTACACTTTTCTATATTCTACAACTACTCAAATACAGATATTGGAAATTATCAATGGCATAACCCAAAACTTTTATTTTTAAAAATAAACTGTTATATGTGATTACAGGTTTTAAAATGGTAGTGGTAACTAAATATTTCTTCTTCTACTACTACGACTACTACTAAGAGAACATTTGGAAGTGCTTTACATGTGATTCTACATATTATAGAATTGGGGATTATAATAAATTCACTAGTTACCCAGTGAATATTTGAATATTCGAATATTCACACACACACAGCCAAAGAACTTAAAACTGTGTCTTATTTACATTGGAATATTTTGAACAGTATTTACTTTTCTTGGCCAAAGTGCTTTGCAATGTTAGAGTTCTAGTCTGTCTTCATATGGACCATTTACTCCTGAGAATGATTAGCACTCTCTTTTTTCAAAAAGAAAGTGAGAAAATTTGAAATAGTCCAAAAAGTATTAAATGGCTAGAAAAATTAATTTTGAGATTTTAGCATCGAAAATGGCATACAAAGCAGATGAGTGAAATAATTCATACAAGAGGTTCTAGTAGGCTTGTCTGGGCAGTTCATTTGAGTGTGCACAGTATTAGGTCACTTTAAAAAAAATAGATTATCATCTGAAGAAAAGCTGAAGCAGGATTAAAACTTTCCCCTTTTAGAAGGGGGACTAAGGTCACAGGCTATGTCCTACTTTTCTTTTTTAAGAACTTGAAATGAAAGGAATTGTATTGGGCAAAATACTCCTTTCATCCTAAAAAAAAGACAGGTATTTTTGGTTCCCCTCCCCACCCAGTGACCTCACATTTTGCAAGTTAGTGATGCTTTCTTCAAAATCTGCCATCTCCAGTGATAGGAGCCTTTGAAAAGAGACAGCATCCAGGCATTCTATTGGTACTAGTCTACATGGAAAGCAGAGTCTGAAAAGGAAGCATCCAGCCTTGTAGCAAAGGGCCCTGAGCTCTGCCTCACAGCCCAGTCAGGTGACCAATGAAAATGAAGCCTGGGCTTCAAAACACGTATACCTCCGAAGAGTATAAGAATGTGTTTGCTTATTTCCTCTAAACTTTAGGGTTTTGTTTTATTTTTCTTTTAGTCTTCAAGACTTTGTTTCATACCTTGCTTTGGGCTTCTTCCTGAGGTGATGCCAGTGAGGGAAGCTAAAGTATTCACACTGATTCCTAAGAGAAAGCACAGACTGAGGAACATAACAATGTTTAGAGTCAAACTACTATTCCAGCTGGGCCAGCACATAGAGTGTGGTGGTCCTGGGGGCCTTGGTGTCAACTGTCAACTAGAGTCACAGTACCTTGACTACTAGAAAGCAGAGGGCGGGCTTAGCACAGTGGGTCCTCCCAACTTTGAAAGTTAAGATTCTGTTTTATTTTCCTTTGTACTTCATTGCATTCTTTCTCATGCTCTTTTCATTCAAAGATTCAATCCCAAGACAGGATTATGATACTCCACCAGCTGTTGTGTCAGGTAGGAAAATTCTACTTCCTTTAAGACTGGATTGGAGGGGAGAGATGGAGGTTGCTTGGTTTTTCTCCAAAATTCTCAAAAGCAGTGATTCTCAATGGGGTGAGGGACCAGGAAATTTGAATTTCTATTTGGTAAGGAGGCATTGTGCCATCTTGAAAAGTATATTGAACATCAATATCAAATTTGTCTTGAAAATGAATATGTTGCTTTAAACAAAACAACAACAAAGTAAGTCGAATAACAGTTTGTCCATGGATGATACACAGGAAATAGAGTCTATTGTTCTGTGTATTGCTCGTTCTCTGTGTGAGATAAGATCATCAGAATTTCTGATAAGTAGAAAGACATTATATTTAGTAAAAATAAAAATTTTAAACTGTAGATTGAGAGGCACTGCTTTAGAGACCAGAATTCTTCTGAAATCAGAAAGTCATCCCATTTCTGCTTGCTCAGCACCCAGGATAGGGTCTGAAACATAGTAGGTGCTCAATATAATTATTTGTTGAATGAATCAAAACCTCAAATTTGTTCCATAAGTCATATTTTTGTTCAAAGTAAAACTACCAGTATTCTATTTATATAACCAAGTGGCAAAATTTGCTTTATGAATACATTAGGGTCTTAAGGACTTCAATTAACAAAAGTTAAGTTGTTCAATGAAACTAAGTTGTGAAATTTGTAGCAGAGTACAAATATGTGGAGATGGTGGGTGATTTTTTTAAGTATACAGACCGTGTGGTTTCATTTTAATTTTGAATTTGGTTTCTTGCAAATGGGGCAATTGTTCATTTTTGTTGCTTAAAAAAACTAATTGAAACACTGGTGGTCTCTGAAGAGCTTTGAACTTTTTGATCCTTTGACATGTTAGGTGGCAATAAAACATAAAATGAAAGCCATGAAGAACATTGGAAAGACAGAGCAAGAGACACAGTCCAGAAATAGCTTGAACAAAACCACAGGCAATTGAATCTGGCAACTGAGCAGTGGCTTTCAAGAAGAGAACATACTGCTCCCAACCACCCTGCTTGCTTAACTTAGCATCTGAAGGGTTGTTTGTCTCGGGTTCTTTGAGCTTGTTTAGTCATGATTAAGGCTGGATCTTTATCATGGAACTTTAAGAATGTCTCCATCGAAGAATAATGAGCTAGCTTTGAACTATGAACTCACTTTGGTCCTTTCCAAAATCTCTTTAAATTATTACTGATTAGTTATTAATTATGATGTCACAAATCTTTACCCCAAAATACATTAGCTGTCATATTTAAGGCACCATTTTCATTTAAGGTATGTTACACCCGGGAGAAGACTTTGATGTGTTGTAGTTTCTATTTTATTTTACACTCAGCATCCTTGTTTAACATCCTTATTTAAGAGTAGATGTTCTTGATAATTTACCAATAGCAGTAACAAGGAAGATGGAATCTACAACTTGCCTTCAATTCATTGTCGTGTTCTCCGTTTTCCAGAAAACAATGCAACAGCAACAAAATGTCAAAAGTATTTACTAAAAACCAATCACAGGTCAAGCTCCATACAAATCAGTCCTGCAGAAACACCGGCTAAAAAACCAAGCTCAAGAGTTTTCCATCTGATTCCCTAACATAGCCACTGAAAGTTTTTGAGTAGATGAATGATTTGGTAAAAGTAAGTTTAAGAAGCAATTTGATGGGTGCTTCGGGAAGAAAAAATAAGACTCCCACAGAACTATTAAAAAGCCAAGATATGACATGTTCACAATAAAAAACATTGCAAATTTCCAGTTTTATAGTACAGAAGATGGGACTAATATAGTTTTCATATAAAAAATAACATTTGGGAGCATTTTTACAGTGATTCTCAATAAGGTTTAACTGGTGGTTGGGCATAGTCATTAGCACATTGTTTGGTCTATCTCAAAACACAAAGTAAATGTGTGTTGCAGAAGTGGTTGTTAATTGACTGGTGGGACAATTTCAGAGACACTTGACACATTTCATATTGACCATATCAGAAAAGTAAAATAGGACATGGTGTTTCAATATCGCCTTTTCAAATATCCCAATATACCAATATTGGACACTCAATTCTTCATTAGTGTAGTAGCTAAATATGTTGTTCCAATTTATTGCAGTTTAAGACATCTGTTTGATAATCTACAGAGCCATGCCAACCTAATTTTTTTCCAACAATATTTTAAGCACTTACCAGATAGTATCTGGGTACTGACTACTGCACTAAAGCTCTAGCAATACAAATATGAATAGAAAATAGAACAATTGTTTATACATGTATGTGTTTACACACATATACATATATGTCAGACTTAAGGTTATTGTTTTTTGTGATGGTTAATTTATAAAATATGGAGGCATAAGGATCTAGAAGCAAGTATTGAGATCCTCAGGCATAAAGTGAAGCAGGAGTTGTATTTGGATGGATGAATAGTTTACCAGCTGGACAACAGAGTGAATGCATACCATGGCAATATCACAGGAATATTACAAAACTATTGCTCTTAGAAATAGTAAATAACATTGGGGTTTGAATGGCAACGAGTCCTTTGATATTTCAGAGCAACATATCACTCTGATGAATATCAAAAGTAGGCCAATATAGAGTCGGGTTCAACTAGGGATACTTTTTCAATAATGTTTTATCACCTCTAGAGTTTAGGAAGTTACATAAAACAGGTTATTATAACAGTGTAATAAGTGTTTCAGTAAGAACAAATACCATTATGTTTAAGTTTGTTAACTCATAAGTGAGATGCTCAAATTCAGAAGTGATTTGTGTGAGTTACTAATTGTGCCTAATTGGTAAACTTACTGAACTCTCTGTAGCCTATATAACTTATTTGAAGACAATACCCTGATAAGATTATAGTAATCATTGGAAGAGTTAAAAAATATAAATCACATCTTGGCATAAAGTATGTACTCAAATATTATTAACCACAACTGTACTTACCATAACTGTTTACATTGTGTTTGCTAGCTAGTTAAGGAATATAAATCTATATTGGAAAGCCTCCTTAATTTGGAATTGGTAAGAAAAATCAAAGATTTGGTAAAAATCTGTCTTTTGCTGCCTTTTCTTGGATGAGCAAGGATTCTTGGGCAGTGTTCAAGCTACTTCAAAGAGCAAAGGCATTTTTAAGCCCTAAGCAACATTTGTTTTCATGGATACCATGAAGTAATTACAAATGATTTACATCTCTTAATTAAAAATTAGACCCATTAGTACCTCCAATTAACACAATTAGCCATTAAATTGTATTTACAGTAAAGACATGACAAAATTATAAATGTTCCCACAAGCCACACATGTAAACCAGTGTAATTTCTTTACTCAGATACTGGGCATTGACTTTGATTGCAAAACTGTGTTTCTTGAAGTGTACTAATTAATTGAATTGTTTTTCTTTTCAATAAGTTTTAATAAAAGAAATCTTGCTTTGCTATTCATTCAACTAATAGTTGCCTGTTTTCTAGGGTACTAAAGGGACACAGACAAGATTGTATAGAATACATTCTCTGCCCTTAAAGAGCAGAGAATCAAGAAGCATTGTATTCACAAATTGATACGTTGAATTTACCCCCCTTTGTACAACTACTTAAAAGTATAAAGAATTTTTAAAAAATAAAAATAAAGAAAGAACAGAAAACCAGAGGACTTATAATGAACAATCATAAACACAGCATGTGACAATATCCTTATTTGGCTAAAGAGCTGGACTTTGTACCTTTTATTTGCACAAGTTTGACACACAGATATATGCTTGTTGAGTTATTAGGATTTTGCTGGTTCATTTATATCATTCAATAAATTATAAAAATGGAGAAACTTTTTTTAAGGGCTGAGACTGGGACTGGAACCCAGTACCTGCCGCTTTAGCTCATTGGCTAGAGTTCTACCAAATGAGCCATTCTTTTTATCCTAAAGAATCTTTTTTGTTCAATTATTTTTGTTTGAAAATGCTAAAACTAGAGAGGTTACAAATATATAAGTCAAGCAAAGAGTAGATTTCCTTTTGGACACTGTTACCCATTCCCTTGTTCTCTCCAAGGTTTCCCCTCCCATCCCAAACACAAGTTGTATAGTTCATTTAAATTTTTTTTTTATTGTAAAGACACTGTACAGAGGGGTTACAGTTACATGAGTAAGGTAATGAATTTATTGCCTACTAAGCATTGTTACCTCCTCCTTTGTTTTTCCCCTACCATCCCTTCCCATATAGTTCATTTTTAACATCATTTCCAATAGGTACCATTACTGCATTTGTTACTTTTGTTACTCTTTGCCCCAGACAATCATTTTTTAAAAAAAAAAAAAAGACTTCTTGTGAGTTCATAATTTTTCCTTGTCTGTTCATATAATTTATCCTAAATGATATATTACCAATAGTCTTACTCTATTCTATTGTTTATTCCATTTACCCGGGGTGGCTGCTTCTTTTTTATATTTTACTTTGTACTCTGTAGAAGAAAGAAAGCTTCCTGCTCTTGTCAGAAAACCAAACACTGTGCAGGGCAAGCCTGTCCTCTGTGGCAATATCAGAGCAAATTACCATTGGCAAGGTACAGCACACTCATCACCTGAGAAGGCCTTCCTATGTAATGCTGACTTCAGCAGAGCCGTCAGCAAGAGGCAGCCACTGACTCAGAATGCTCCACGCAGCAGCGTGCAGTGTCACTTGTAGCTTAATCATTAACCCAATAACAGAGCCCACCTAACAGGAGGGATCTGACATATGCAAGTTACATGCTCACCAATCAGTACATCTGGTCATGAGAACCCAGGATTCCCTTTTTAATCATCAACACAAAGTGGCAACTTGAGGCTCCACTCAGAGAAGCCAGCAGTGAATTGACTGAGATCCAGCACTTGCCTAAGGCAGGCTTGAGACATCTGATCCTGGAGAAAAGCTGCCTAACAGACTTGTTCACATTTCTCCAGACTCCTTGTGAAATTACTTTATCAGAAAGTAAAATGCCGGAACCAAGTGATTGTATGTCCCAGTT